AGACATTCACTCCAGCTTCTTTAGCACTTAATGATGATGTTAGAAAGGATATTCAGATTTATTTTCAGCAATATTTCATCTGAGCACCATCTTTGCCCCAATTACCTTTTGTTGCTTCCTTGTGAAACTGTTTCGAAACACTATTCTATTACTATGGTTAGAATATCATGTTTGTTAAGCTTAGAAGTTATACATTTATTGCTTGAATGGTAAAAAAACACTTAATCATGCATGTCGTTAGCTCAGCAACATCGTATAATTGCAGTTCAGCAATTTTCATAAGCAAAACACTACATATTCAAATTCGAACACAACTAAATTTAAAAATTAAATCACTTGGACTTTAGTTTCATGAAAGCTGAATCTACATCTCAAGTCTCAATCCAAAAGAAAACAAAAAGAAAAAAAAGATAAGTATGAGATGTAACACAATTAAGACATAGATCAACATGTTCAATACTCTTTGTCAACACCAACCTGATGCTTTTGGGATAAGCAGGCAAGCCATGTGACTCGGTTGCATCAATGATTTCTTAAAACAGAAGTTGGTATGCCTTGTCATCCTGAACAATTATTTATTTGGAATGCGAGACACCGGTGTTACCATCTATACCATAATGTCACGGATTTACGCACTTGATGTCCGGAAACAAAACCCTGCTCTCAGAAACTCGAATTGGTTATGGCTTCTGCTTTTTTTCAGTGTCGTAAAGCACACATGCGTCTGCTGCTGTCTTCATCTGAAGAAACAAACAATTACCAACCTCTAAAATCTAAATTGCCATTACAAAAATGTCATAGGAGATGCAGAATTAAATTTAAATTGATGCAACTTCGATTAAGTTACAAGACATATATGACTACCTGTATAATATTGATGATCTGCTTGATTGAGCATCCAAATAAGCTTATACCAATAAGAACAGAAAGAGGTGAACCCTCTTTCAGGGTAGTCACTACAACCTGAATTGAGAAAAAAATTAAGCAATAAGAAATCAAAATGCAAAGGAATCCGCTCTTCAAATGAGAAAGGAAGCATTACACGAGAATCCAGACTTACATCCATCAAATCTTCCGTATGGTTCTTTGAAATAAGAAATAAGGCTATGTAAAAAACCTGTAAACTCAAGATAACTTGATCAATATACAAGTACCAAAAGCAAGGCAATGCAGAGGGCGGAATGAGTTATATATTTATAATTACCTCGCAAGCCACACAACAATAGCCCATAAACATCCGGTTCCCATAGTAAAGCTTGAAAAGCCAATTGGAGCTGTCTTTCACATCTTTATGACTAGCCTTACCCGCTAGAAATGAACTGCAATATAAATATGAAGAGTTAACGACGAAAAACATAGCCGAGCAAAAAAAAAAACAGAACGAAAGATGTATTTCAAGGAAAAAGAGCTACCTGTACATCTGCAGCCAATGGCTAGCAATATCTAGGGCTAGCAAAGACAAGAAAACCAAGCTAGGCCTGCAAGGAAACACGACAGATATGGCATGACACAAGTATATTGGAATGGCAATATAAATACAAACGGATGAATGGAAGAAAGCTCACCTATACACTTGGGAAAGTATAACCAGTAGACAAGCAGTGCTAATCCTGAATTAAAGAATTGAGAAAAATCACTATGTAGACAACCTCGTAATTCAAATTTTCTACTGGCATTATTTATCGAGAAATAAAGTGAAACATACGGGAAGGTATCCTAAAAACTTAATGCCTATCACAGATAGAGAGAGAGAGTGTGTGTGTACCTATCTGTTACCATGTCCAGAACAGCTCCAAATGTCGAAGCTGAGCCAAGGAGAACGAAGAAAAAAAATAAATCAGATTTTGTATTTTAGCGATGCCGCTTCAACGTGGCATGCCTTCCTTTTAGCATCCCACAAAGAATGACAAATGAAGTAATTAAGTTCCTCTATATGCTATATTTGACCCTAAATTAGAAAGCATACATGCCACTTTCACGTTATTGGTTGGACTACTTTCATAACTTTTAAAGATAAAAACGAGAACAAATTATACCTTGGTCTAATTTTCGAGCACACCAACCATCCACAGCATCACAAACAAAGCTGCAATTCCAAATTTAATCATATTCAAGCCTATCATTTCTCGAAAGGAGACAAAGCTTCGTATGTTAGATACAATTCTCACCTTAGAAAATAGAGAGCAGAAAAAAGCCTTTTGCTGGAAAAGCATATAGCAAAAGCATAGCAATTCAAGAGAATTCTTATATAACCTACAACCACAAAAAGGTTTTAAACTCAAAACCCAATAAGAATTCAAAAGTTGAGAAGAGAAACTAACCAACAATATTGGGAATGTAAAGGTAAACAGACAGATGGCTTGGTTTAGGCTTAGGTTTAGACTTGTTGGCCATTGGAATTTATCTGTAAGAATCAAACCTGCAAGAAAAAACAATGAGTTAAAAGAAATTGTGAGAGTAATAATTGGCTTAGATAAGAAGAAATTGGATCTGGGTACGACCTGGAAGAGCAAATAGTTGAAGTTTTTGGGTGAAGTGTGGATTTTTATTGAAGAAAAAAAATACGATTCTGAGAACTGTGAAAGCCCTCACCTTTTGCAGAAGATTAGCCGAATATATTTTTCAATCCCAAATAATATTAGTTGTATAAACTGATAATTACTTAATTTAGTGTGATGTATTAAATTTGACAAAATCAACGAGATAATGCGTTGAATTTTTTTTTTCACGAGATAGTACCCTCGCCAGATTAATTGCTCAGATAGGGTGATCTCTACAGTCCCACGTCTCTGGGGGTAGGTCGCCATGCACGCCCAGCGACCTACCAGGTCGCCATGCACGCCCAGCGACCTACCAGGTCGCCATGCACGCCCTAACACGCTGGGCATCCGAGACCATCCGAACGAGCTATACGAGGGCATCCGAGGGCAACCGAGCGAGCTATGCGAGGGAATCCGAGGACACCGAGCGAGGGTAGGTCGCCCGGAGTGCATGGCGACCTACCCTCGCTCGGTTGCTCGGATTCCCTCGCATAGCTCGCTCGTTTGCCCTCGGATGCCCTCACATAGCTCATTTGGATGGCCTCGGATGCTTTCGGATGGCCTCGGATGCTTTCGGATGGCCTCGGATGCCCAGCGTGTTGGGACGTGCATGGCGACCTTTGGGGGCTGCATGGATTGCATGGCGACCTACCTAGGTCGCTGGGCGTGCATGGCGACCTGGTAGGTCGCTGGGCGTGCATGGCGACCTATATGGGGACTGTAGAGATCACCCCATCTGAGCAATTAATCTGGCGAGGGCACTATCTCGTGAAAAAAAAAATTTCAACGCATTATCTCGTTGATTTTGCCACTAAATTTTTTAAATAATTTTAAAATTTAAATCTTGATTTTTGTGTATGAATCAAATTAATTAGAAAGATCTCTCCACATTAGGTTTTTATATAATCTGATTTGGATTAATTAATTAATAAATTAGATACCGATAATTATATTATAAAAGTTATATAAATTAAGGGTGAATATAAATCTCAATATATAAAGTTTAATTTCATATCTATTTTTAAATAATAAAATATTTAAATTTATCTTTGATTTGAGATACTTAAATTTTGTTTCTTATTAAATTGATATACGAATTTGATTTCTTAATTGAAAATAATAGTATGTGAATTTGACTTTTTTATTCAATTTAATATTTATAAATTTTATCTAGTTAATCGTTACATTTAAAATAATTAAATTATATCTTATATAATTTAAATGTATCAAGCTTTTTCATATTTGAACAAATCTTAAATAATTCACTTTCAATCATAAATGTAATTCTATATAAAAAATCAGGGAATCAAGTCTGTCGTTGTCATCGTCTCTCTTGTCGTCGTGCAAGTTCGTTAGATCGATTGGGTATCGTGAATTTAGGGGTTTGAATTCATCGAAGATGTAGTTTTAGGTCACAATTTTATTGTTTCCTTCGTCGAAAATGCGTGTGTTTATGGTGGGGTTTGAGTTTCCGTATGGTGAAGGTTCTGGTGGAGGTTCGATCGACTTCAAACAACGACGATCGATGTGAGTCTAGGGATTAAAATTGAAGTTTTCAATAAATTTATTTTTATTCTAATTTTTTTTTTAAAATTGTCAGAACGTAACAAATGTTACTTAACGGTGAAATTTAACGACCATTACAACACGACCCCCTAAAGTGACCATGTTTGTAATGTTAGATATATGGATTATTAAAAAAATGGACACCTATTTGAAAAATTAGTTTAGTTTATGCACTTATTTTTATAATTAAGCCTAATAATAATAATAATCAACACTGAGAGTTGGGTCAGTTTATTTTTCAAGCATATTAAGCGACATTAGTGGTAAACGAAAACGTTGTTCTCTTTAGAGATTTTAGGTTCTAAATGTTATGTTTGATGACTAATTCACCTTCCATAATTCCAAGTAAAAGTAATTAATTTATTCTTGTCTCCAAATTAAATAAAATTATTATTATCTTGATGTTCAAACTCGAAACCTTAAGAAATAACAATAATTCCTTAGTTATTGAGATCGGTTGGTTATTGTTTTTTTTAATCTTATATTTAGATCCGAATGTAAAAACATTTTTTTAATATAAAATTTTAAAGTTTTTTTTATGGTTTGAAGTTTTTTTTTTTTAATAATTTTTATATGTTAGAAAATTATGAAACAGTTAGTTTTATTCAAAAAGTAAAACCATATACATTATATATATTTTTCTTCAAATTTCATAAAAATCAAGGATTTTTGGTTAATCAGGCCTCCATTCTCTACGGAAAAAAACTGGATTTACAATATCAGGAATCAAAGTAAAGCAGAATCTGAAATGAAAATAATCACAGAAAAGAAAATTAATGTAAATGTTCGTTCAATTCATTTCTCGATTTTTGCTTGTTTAATTACATGGGTTGTTTGTGTTCATCCTTCATCACCATCACACTTTCTTTCTGCATTTTCCAGGAATTTTGTTTTCCTAGGAAACCAATGCCTCTATGCTACCTTTCTTGGCTGTTCTACAAACGGGGCAAGAATCAAGAAAAACAGCGCAATCCTTGCAGGAACAGAGGTGCCTGCACGGAAGGAACAAAACGCACGACCGTCGATGATAGCAGCATCTGCAAACCATTCTTCTTTCTCCGTCGTCATCGGCGGCGACCGCCGGGAAAACCATCGCTTCTTTCTTCTCCTCATCCTCTTCGCATTCGCGGCAAGACTCCGCATCGTCGACGCCGTCGTTGAAGCGGCAAGAGGCTTGCTCTCGTAGCTCTTCGATCCGGTTGTTCAAAGAGAAAACCATCGCTTCGTTCTCGTGCGCCACTCTTTGCCACGCATGGCTCTCCATCTCCAGTCTCTTCAAAATATTTTCCAGCTCCATTGATTTATTCGTCGCCTTTACAATCTCCTCGTCTTTTTCTCTAAGTAAAACGCAAACCCTCGATTCCATCTTCTTCACCGATACATCAAACTGTTGCTTCCTTTGCTCTTGCAGCAACAATCTCAACCTCCCATTCTGCACAAAAAAAAAACCCAATTCAAAAAAGACAAGACCTTTACAAAGAACGATCGATCACTTTTATTATTATCATTTGCCAACCTGTAATTCGATGAACTGATCGATCTCGTTTTGGCTAAACATCATGGATTCAAGATTTCTTTGCTGCTGGTTTTGAAGATACTGAAACTGCTGTTGCTGCAGTTGTTGTAAGTGATAAAACTGTTGTTGAACACTTAAACCGTATTGATTGAAACCGCGGCCATTGTTGTCGATCAAATCCAAAGAACCGCACAATGGAAAGCCGATGTTATCAGAATACAACTGCGCCTGTACAGCCATTTTTCTCCTTTATTTGTTCTTCTTCAACAACAGAACAAAAAACAAACAACTTTTTCTTATCCACAAAATCTCTTCGTTCCGATCAAAGAAACTCTCAAATTCCCCCAATGGACATATGAAAACAAAAGAGATGGTCAAGGGCGTTGGTGTGTATTTATAAGAGAGAGAGGGTTGTATGTATGTATCTTATGTATATATATATAGATATAGATACATACATACATACATGTGAAGAAGAAAATAATGGGATTTGATTTGGATTATAATGTTTGGCTTGAAAAGGAAAGACTGGAGCTCATAGGATGCCATTTTCTGCCGTAATAATGATGCCGATGCCACGTAGGGGATGCCCTATGCATCGACGTACACATGCAGATTTTGTGACTACACCTACTGAGTCACAGATTTAGACCGGATTCGTTTATTTATTTTACTATTTCCTTTTAATTATAAATCTTTCGGTAATTTATACGTTTAGTATCCCAACTATAACTTTTATTCCGTTTCGGTCACCAGAATAAAAATAATTAGAGGTGATACTGCCTTGTCACAGTAATGTATTACTATATCATCATTAATTTTTTTTAAAATAACATATCGACAGTTCTGTCAATTTTTAATAGTTGATGACCAAAACAGAATAAAAATTATACTTAGGTACATGTAATTTACCTTTCTTTTATTAATCTTATATGGTAATATTTAATCCGAATTTACTTAATAAATACACATTTTCTCAAACTTAAAACTTTTAACTTCTAAAAGAAACAGTATTATTTTATCACTAAAATATAAGCATCAATAAGTTCTAAATTATAATCAACTTCTCAATGGTCTATATATTACATAAATATAAGTGCATTTTCGTTCATCATAATTAGCTTATAATAATAATTTTTAGTTTTCAATATCATTAAAATAAAATAAAAATAATTATTTTTTTATAGATTCGTTAAGTAAAAGGTGATCGAATAATTATATTGAAGGATTGATTTTTGATTCTATAAACTAAAGTCAGTACATATCTTTAAAAAATAGTGTATAATTGCACGAGTTAACTTATTTTAGTGAATAAAAAGACCATTGTTATTTTTAGAGATCATGAATTGAACGTAACTAAAATGTTATGTAGAATTACTTTTCCTTAAGAGTCTCCAATAATCACGGCAGTTATATCCTAAAGAACGGATAAAGGAACGACTTGGTCTGGAAACTATACCATCCATCTTTTTCCTTATGTTATTTATTGTACTCTCTTACATAGAATTATCGATCGTCTTCTCATCGACCGCGATTCTACATTATAAAGAACGAACAATTAACTGTTAACTAGATGAGTTTGTTCGCATCGATAACGTTACATGTAACTAAGGGGTTGTTTGTTTGTCTCTTAATGGAACCAGTCAGCGCTGAATGTTGAATCGTTCAGCATTCAGCACGTTTGTTTCGTACCTCTGAATGATTTAGTGCTGATTGATTCAACAAAACAATGTTGACTGATTCAGCAAAACAATGTTGAATGATTCAGCACAGAAGTACATTCTGAATGATTCAAAACCATTATCAAACAATATGTCACATTAAGAGCCAATTCATACAGAGCCTCTGAATCATTCAGCGCTTAATTATTCTAAAGAAAACAAACAACCCCTAACTTATCATTACACACTTGGTTCAAAAATCAAATACAAAATATAAAATTAAATTACAAAGAATATATTATATAGAATAGGTTTTTGATTTGGAATAGAGAATCTGAAACTGACATGAATGGCAGAGGACAAATTGTTCATGGAAATGTAGCGGATTGATTGGCATCCAGAATCTTCAAACTTTTATCCCCTCCTTGTCTCTGCTACTCCACCACATGCACCAATGGATCCTAAATCACGGAGAATTTGCCCAATGCAGGCAAGATTCTTAAGAGGGAATAAACAAGGAAACTCCATGAAAAATAAAAAGAAAGTACACAGTTCCCAAGGGCAAATGCAAGCACTGGTACATATACATATACGTAACTGAATAGTGGGTGTCAGTTGAGGCTAAATCTTTTAATACGAAAGCGTTATTTCCGTCTGCATTCGTGAAACAATGGTGACTCATGGGGTGGCCCCTCCATGTGAAGACTGCGTCGGAATTTCAACATCGTCTCTTTAAAACCAAAGGTCATTAGCTTCCTAACTTCACCATCATTCACCCTCGAGACAAGATGGAATCCTTTTCTTTTTGGGTGTTTTGCAGATATCCAAACCCCTTTTCTCCTAATCTGGTGCCTTCAGCTTCCCAACTGCCACTTCTCTTTGTTTTTATATTTGCTTAATCTGTGGTTATAACCATTAATTTAATCGGTCGTTCTTTATTAGAATAGTATCCGTTATTATTCGTTTGAAATTATTATTGTATGATGACTATGTTCGAAACGATCACAATAACACACATCTCTAACATAATCGCGATAAATATGACGTAACCGAAAATACGATTACAACTATGATTTAAATCTCAAATTATAACAATGGACGGTTAATGCACCGTTCTTTAGAAAAGGAAAACGTTTAGTACAGTTCAAGACTGTCCTATTGAGATTAAGTTCTGATTAAAAATGCGATGTGTTGGTTGAGCTTTCGTTTCGTGGAAGGTTGGACGTGTGTCTTTCTACGTAGGGATGGTTATTTTAGTAGGATTTGATGGGTTTCAAACCAATCGAATTGAGTTGTTTTTTTATATTTTGAAAATTTTGGTTTAGATCGGATCATAATTTTATAATTTTTGACTTAATCTGACTCGACATAATATTATAATTATACTTAATATATTTAGATATAATTTTATAATAATTTTTTTTTCAATTAGTTCATTATTTCACTTAATAAAAATGAATTATATATATAGGTCAGATAGGGGTTCTTGCTTAAAGTATTGGGTCAGGAAAAATCCCCTTAAGACGGTCAAGTCAAATGCAGATGTAGAACTTCAATCTTTAAATAAGTTTAAGAGGTTAAAAATCAGATCCAACTCGACTCGTTGTGATTCCTATTTCTACTTGCCTTACTACACGCATGCATTGACTCAGTTCTCCCCTTCAATTAAGGCATCATTGATCAATTTCCCATCACCATTAGCTTATCCAGCACATGAATTATTAATGGGCAGACTTTGAAAGAGACGAGACGGTGAATCGAGGAGTTGTTGGGTTAGGCCATAGAGGGCTGCTGCTGCACCGAGCTGAATCCCATCCCTTGCTTGCTGTGACCCACCGATGCATTTAAAAGTCGTATCTTGTGAATGAGTCGAGACTTTCAATGACTCTCATCACTTATTTTTGCCCACAATTTGAGACTTGATAAAAAAAGGCTAATAATTAGACCATTCACCGCAAAACAAACGGTCCTTTTGAGGACCACAGACACCCCTACTGACCCTCTCATGAAATTTTGGGAAACAAATAAATGAATAAAACCAAAGGAATGGGTTGGTTTTGTAAGATATGATATCAATAACCCCTTGAATTTGTTCATATGTCACCAGCATGATTCATGCATGAACCGAAGATGATGGTAACGTTTTAACTATAGGTACACATTTAGGCCTGTAAACGAACCGAATGAATACGAACAGGGTATGTTCATGTTCGTTCGTTTAACTTTAAACGAACAAATGAACGAACATGAACATAAACAAACGAAAAATTTCTTGTCCGTATTCATTTGTTAAGGAATGTAGCTTGTTCATGTTCGTTCATGTTCGTTCATTTAAATGATAAACAAACACAAATGAACGAACATAAATGAACGGATGTAAACGAACATAAATGAACGTAAACAAACACAATAAATGAACATAAACAAACATAAATGAAAATATTTTTTTTCTTTTCAAACAGTTTTAGTATTATATTTTATTTAATTGTTTTGAGTTTTTTTTATTTGTATTTAAAATTAATTGAATTTTAAAATATTTATGGGTTGATTAAAATTTATTGGGCTTTAATATTTTAAATGGGTCTAGAGATATTGGACTAAACATAAATAAACGCACATAAACGAACGCGCATAAACGAACGCACATAAACGAACATAAATGAACAAACAGAATACCGAACGTTCACGAATGTAAATGAACGAACGAGCACCCTGTTCATGTTCATTCATTTAATTAAACGAACACAAAAATATTGTTCATGTTCATTCGTTTAATAAATAAACGAACATAGACGAACTTCCTGCTGAATAGTTCACAAACGGTCGGTTCATTTAGAGTCCTACACACATCAACACCCAATTTACATAAACATCTAGCTAGACAGTCGTTCGTACATACGTGTATATATGTACAGGAATGATCATTCGTTCATACATACGTGTATATATGGTCAGGAATGAACTAATGAAGTAAGAGACCATAGCACTTGAGAATTTCAAATTATCATATATTTCAGATTTTTTTATATTTTTTTATTGATAATATATTTTCACTTCCTATAATTTTATAAGTTCAATTCTTAAAATTTTAGAAATTCAGCCTTAATATAAAATTTTGAGTTTGTCCCTGTATAATATTTATGTATGAGGAGGATATTAATGATGATATCTGGGTATGGTCTACTGTTTACCCTTCACAGCAAAACCTGCTGTATTTGTTGCTTTCTTTGTCTGTGTTTGTGCAGCAACCTTACATGCAAGCTTCCAACAATTAACCATTGTTACACGTGGAATCTTATGGAATTGCACAGCAAACATATATATATTTATATATTAAATATGCAATTATCCATGTTATAGGTTACATGATACATATAATAATTGGGAAGACTGGATCCACAATGTACGGATTTGCAGAATGAGATGCATTATGGGAAGGCTATTCTTGGATATTTCGACGAAAAAAATGAATTAATATAAAATCATATGAAGTTTGAGTCTTGTGAGTAAAAAAATATTCGAATCAAAAACGAATATTGCAATAAAAGATGTTGCAGTTGCAGATGGGGAAATCTGAAG